TAAGATGTAAGTACAACTCCTCCGGTTTCATATGCAAAAAAAATTATTGCGCTAGCTCACGTGGTTGCAGAGCTACCGGGATTTAAAATAGTTACGCAAAACAGAGCGTGCCCGCTCCGATCGGTTTTAAAGGGTTAAAAGCTCCTCGTGTGAACCGTCTTTGTTGTACGTCAGCAACATTTTTTCCCACTTGTTGAAAAATGTTTTATTACTGAAAGCACTCAGAGTTAACAGACTATGAGCAGGTTACCCGCCAGTGTCCATGTCCACAGCAGTGTCAGCACTGAACCTGGTCAATAGCTGGAAGAGGAGCTCAGTGTAAATGTATATACATAATGAACCTGCTTGATTTACGCTCCTCCGTCCAGCCTCTTCTCTGCTGTGCCAGCACAAAAACTGCAGACTGAACCATCGAGCTGTGGCTCAGAATAAATGAGTGGACGGACACAGTCCAGGAAAAAGCGCCTGCATCATTTTTATATGAGCGGCACAAATCACAAGCATGATTTCCGTCATTCATGGCTTGCTTTATGACCACGTCTTATGGCCCATAAGTCATCGTTCATTAATGTAAATGGTCGAAGTCGACAGGCTGAAAGGGAGCTGCTGATTTATCGCCGCGTGAACAAGGATGATATGAAAATTGCTAATTTGTGTCGCTGTGTGTTTTGTGTGTGTTCAGGTTCATCATGGCAGAGCTGATTCAGACAGAGAAAGCCTACGTGCGAGACCTGCGGGAGTGCATGGATGTAAGTTCAACTTGTCAACCCACCACTGTTAACCTGCTTAGTGCAGAGTTGTGCAACAACTTTTCAACTAAATTTAAAAGTCTTTCAGAATGCTACTATGAAAAATCAAACCATTATTATTCTCATAGTTATGATCTCCTCTTTCCTCCTTTGCAGACCTACCTGTGGGAGATGACCAGTGGAGTGGAGGAGATTCCTCCAGGGATCCTCAACAAGGAGCACATCATCTTTGGAAACATGCAAGACCTTTATGAATTCCACCATAAGTAAGAAACGTGTCCTCCTTCCACTATTTTTCATTTTTAGAGAAAGCTCTAATCGTTTCTTCTGGTATCTCATGCTTCTGTCTCTCTTTTTTTTTCTCCAATCAGCATCTTCCTCAAAGAGTTGGAGAAATATGAGCAGCTACCAGAGGATGTTGGGCATTGCTTCGTCACATGGGTATGTATTATTGTGTCTTACAGAGAAATGTATTTTGTACTGTGTACGTGTGCATTTAGATTTCTAAGTAATGCATATGAGCTTTTTTCTACTCCTGGCTCAGTAGGATGTCATGTAGGGGTGGGCGATAGAAACGATATAAATTTGGCCAACGATAGAGATTTTGACTATACTGCTCTATCGCGATAGCGCATGTTGATGATGTAATCAAGCTGCGCCGGTTTTGGTCGAAAGCATCGCAGCGGCTAAAACCATTATCTGCAAATTATGGCGGGCGACAGTCTTAGCAAAGTGATGAAGCGCTTTTGAAATATGGGGAAAGCCAAAAACTGCGCTTCCTGCACTTCTGTAACATCGATTCATTAATGTTGAATTCTCTCGCAGCTGTTCTGTTCCCATGTTGTTGCAGTATATTAATAACTAACCTCGTATTGTGGATGAATAATCTCAGTTGTTCTCCTGACTGAAGTTTGCCTCGTGTATAGCATCCTGCTATGCAATTGCATTTGTCCCTGACCACCAGAATCCCTCACGTTAACTTTTATCGAGTGGAAAAAAAGTTGGCGTTCATCCTCCAGCTTCACTGTGCTAATGTTATGCTAACATAGCTGTGTCGCTAGCAATCACGTAGCACAACATGTTTAGGTGGAATCTAGCGAGCTAACAAGCTAACTTCCTGTTAACTTCTAATTCCGTTAAATGTAATAAATTCTGTTTTCATGGATGTTAAACTTAATTGTTACACCTGGTAAAGCAGCAACGCTGATGATTTAATTAAAGATGAAAGAATTTAGACAGTTTTTAACTCTCAGTATTCGTTTGACTTTGGGAGCTGAAGCGGACGGAGTTTTGGACCCAGATTACTCCGTGAAGCTCCTCACTACGGCAGCCGTAATGCTCTGACAATCCATCAAGCAGTGCTGATTACCAAAGTTGTACTAAAACATTTTTTAACAGATTTCGGCCAAAATCGGTTCGAGGTCTGTAAGCACAACCAGAATTCATACATAAGGCACACTCTCGATTTTTGAGAAAATTAAAGAATTTTAAGTGCGCCTTATAGTGTGGAAAATACGTTATACAGAAGAAAAGAATATATCGTTACCGCACGTGCTTCAAATTATATCGCGATATGAATTTTAGGCCATATCGCCCAGCCCTAATGTCATGTCAGGAACATAGCTCTGGCTGTTAGCACAGAAGCCCCACCCACCTGCTCTTCTAACCTTCTGTTTACAAGGAGTAGCCAATCAAAAGAAGGCTGGCTTAAAGCAAAAAGCAAAAGGCTTGTTTCAGAAAGAGAAACATAAATTAAGGTTATTTTGAACAGTGGCTCTGCAGACATATTCCCAGCAGTGTCCACAAATTTAAAAAATGGAGCTGGAAAAGAGCATCAATGGTCCCTTTAATATTTCTGGAAGTAAGAAAAATGGTTCATAAGCTGAGATCTGATGGGTATTAATTTTTCATTGTCATCTGTTTCTTTCTTGTTCAAGGCTGATAAGTTCCAGATGTACGTGAACTACTGTAAGAACAAGCCGGACTCCACCCAGCTCATACTGGAGCATGCTGGCAACTACTTTGATGTGAGTACCACCTTTGATCACTGAGATGAGACTGAATGTCAGTCACGTACAGTCACCTCACTGTTCTCCTCTGTTAATGGCAGGAAATTCAACAGAGGCACCGACTGGCCAACTCCATCTCATCCTATCTGATCAAGCCAGTGCAGAGAATCACCAAGTATCAGCTCCTGCTGAAGGTAAGCCACCACAGCAAAAAAAACAACAAGATGCTTGTATTGAGCATCTCCATGGTTCCTGTTGTCATGGTTTCTGTGCCCGCGTCCTGTTTAGGAGTTGTTGACGTGCTGCGAAGAAGGAAAAGGAGAGATCAAGGACGGCCTGGAGGTGATGCTCAGTGTTCCCAAGAAAGCCAACGATGCCATGCACCTCTCAATGCTGGAAGGTCAGACACTGATTATGTATTTGTACGATTAGCTATAATTTCACAGCAAACCTCTGTGTGTTTATTCTTTAATGTTGATTTTTCATCAAGTCATCCTCTGGCCTTTTTCTCCAGGTTTCGATGAAAACATCGAGTCGCAGGGTGAGCTCATTCTCCAGGATTCGTTCCAGGTCTGGGATCCAAAGACTCTGATCCGAAAGGGACGAGAGCGCCACCTCTTCCTCTTTGAGATGTCTCTCGTTTTCAGCAAGGAGGTCAAAGACTCAAATGGCCGGAGCAAATACATCTATAAGAGCAAACTCTTTGTAAGTACACGATGATGAAATCAGGAGCATTTTTGTGATTATGGAAACCTCAGAACTTTGCACAGTTACAAAAATAAAATCATTTGACAGTTGACGTTTTCTCATATTACTCTTCCTCGCAGACATCAGAGTTGGGGGTGACTGAACACGTTGAAGGAGACCCCTGTAAGTTTGCTCTATGGGTGGGACGCACCCCGACCTCTGACAACAAGATTGTACTCAAGGTAAAACACTCCTCCTCCTCCTTGCTTCGCAGACTCCTCCTCCTTTTGGGTTGGACCAATATAGCTTCCTGAAGCAAATCTGATGAGTAATTTGGTCTCAATAAAGTCCAAATACTAGCATTGAAAATACGTGAATCTTCCATGTGAGTGTGCTGAAAGCATAAATATTGGTCTAACCCAGTTTCCTCTCCACATTCAGACCTTTTCTATTCTTCTTCTTATCTCTACTGTCCTCTCTTCTGTCCCGTTTAAATGCATGAGCAGCTTCAGGGTGGCTGAGAAGCTTTCTGTAGTCACTCTTCTGTCTCCTTCCTTCTCGTCTTCCAGCCTGGTTAGATTTCTGCTTTTGTTCCATCTGTTAACAAAACACGGCACACATGTGTATATCTGGGGCTGTGTTTTCTGTGGATGTTTGTATCTCTAATTCTCTATGTGGGCCGACATGCTTCCACCAACGCTGGTGATGCTGATTCAGCCCCTGAACGCCCACAATCGCCCAGCCTGGCTCGCTGCTGCTTTATCAAAGCAGCGACTTAGCGATCCTTCTCTACCACAAAATCTAGATTTTAATAATGATTTACAGCCACTGTTGAAGTTTTTAATAAATTTTTCTAAGTATCGTATCACCCATGTTAAGACTTCTTCCTGCTGAGTAGTGTCACAGATGGATTAAAACTTGTCAGCTGTTGGACCAGCATGAAGCCAGAGCACGTTCAGTACTGAGCATTTCAACATAAATACACACCGACTACCAGACTAACCACTGAGAAGCAGTCATGTGTTATGTGTATTGTAAATTAGGTGTGTCTTGTTACTAACCACACACACACACACACACACACACACACACACACACTATCCATTACTATTCACTAGGCATTTTACTGCCCTTCATTATACTGTCAAACCAAAATGTCAGTGTTGTGCACTTCTATCATTTCAAATCATTCTGTCAGCTTGTAAAATGTCCTGTACACCTTCTAAAAGCAAACCAGTGAAATTCCCTTTTTTATATTTTAAATTCAAAGCTAAGTCAGGGATCCAAACATGGAGCCATGGTGAGTACAAACAATCCCACAACACAGCCCTCAACCATTTTTCAAAAGTCTTAAAGTTAGCTTAGTGTCATGGGTAAAAGCAGCATATTTGAGCTTTAGCATCAAGCCGCTGTAACCTTAGCAATATGACATCTTCAGACCTGAAAGGTACAAAATAATCAATAACGGTGATTCCCAAATGAGGGTAGTAAAGTAAACCTAAACACTGACTGTTCACTGTTCATGTTTGTATGACTAATACATTAAGTAACATCCACTTTAACTCAGATTATTCAGATGGTGGGTGGTGTTGAGGAAGTGGTTCTTCATCTCTGAGAGCTGTTGCAGAGGCTGTACAAAATAAATGCAGGGAAGCCGCTGTGTTAGGCATTTACAGGCAGAGAGAGTAAAATGTATATGTGAAATAAAGGCTTTGTAACGTATTGAGAGATCAGATATGTGTGAATCAAGAATTCAAATTGAGGATTTTTTGACAAGCTTTGCCTTCTTGACAATGATTGACTGCCGATAACAGGCATCCAGCATTGAGAACAAGCAAGACTGGATCAAACACATCAGAGAGGTGATCCAAGAGCGCACCATTCACCTGAGAGGAGCACTTAAAGAACCCATTCATATTCCCAAAACAGCCACCACCAAGCACCACAAGGGACGAAGGTAAACACAGCTCTAAATGGGGATTAATCTATGAACAGGAAGTTTATCTTACCGTTTTTATACAAGAAGGGGAGAAAAATTGCACCTTTTATTGATCGTGTGTGCTCCTGTTAGGGATGGAGAGGACCTGGACAGTCAGGGTGAAGGCAGCAGCCAACCAGACACCATCTCTCTGGCGTCACGCACCTCTCAGAACACACTGGACAGCGACAAGGTGAGAACACACACACAGAGCTCAGAAATGATGCCCAGTCTTCAGACCTTCTGCATTTATGAGCTTTAAAACCAATATGGAGCAAAGGTCTCAGTGATGGTCTCGTCTTCCACAGCTCTCCGGCGGCTGTGAGCTGACTGTGGTCATACACGACTTTATGGCCAGCAACAGCAACGAGCTGACGGTGCGGCGGGGTCAGACTGTGGAGGTTCTGGAGCGCTGTCACGACAAACCAGACTGGTGCCTGGTCAGGACCACAGACCGCTCTCCTGCCCAGGAGGGCCTGGTGCCCTGCTCTATGCTCTGCATCGCCCATTCCAGGTCCTCCATGGAGATGGAAGGCATCTTCAATCACAAAGGTACAAAAATGTAACCTAATTTGCTTCACTGGCAAAAAGTCACTGATATGATGAAGTGTAGAAAATGCAAGCTTGCATCCATGCTGCCATGGAAACACTCATATTTCTGAAGGCACCGTTAATGCTGAATAACTATATACTGTTTAGGGGACAGATGCTGCTATCTAGCTTGTGCTGATGATTACGATGATGATTTCAGAGAAGAACTGTCTTATTAACCATGCACTGCACATATTACACACATTGGCTCTGCAGGAAAGTAACGCAGGCTGGTTAGCAGCTGAAATCCTGGGCTTTTCTAAGCATTTCACTTAGAAAGCTGCAACATTTGGTCTCCTCAGTGTCCAGATGTTTTTTGGAACATATTGCTGGCATCATATTCAAAATCAGATGATGTTCTTCCACTAAAATGAATTTTCTCGGCCTTCACATTCTGATTTGCCATCTACAAAAATTAATAATATTTTTAAAAAAATATGCTTTAACTTTACAGATAACTGTATTGTTTCTTGTCTTTTTTGAGTGCAGCTGTTGTTTTTGGTCTCATTTCTGGAATTGGCATCACAGGGCTTGTTTTCACTTACAGCTCTGTATTTCACAGACACACTGTCAGTGTGCAGCAATGACTCCATCATGCCAGGTTCCTCTGCTACGCTGCAGCCCGGTCACGGCATCGGCTCCCACACCTCCCCGGGTCCTAAACGACCAGGTGAGATCGCCAACCTTTATTTGAAAGGCTTTGAAAAAACTCTGTTTAAAAAAAGAGTTAAATTTCAAACTGATGAAGCTGTCAACTGTAGTTGTAGATAAAATCCAGAGTTTTTAACTGTTCGCTGCAGTTTCGGTGAATTAACTTTAACCTGTGCTTCGTGCATGTGTTTTGGTTTCTTAGGTAACACGCTACGAAAGTGGCTGACCAGCCCGGTGCGACGGCTAAGCAGCGGTAAGGCAGATGGCCACGTGAAGAAGCTGGCCCACAAGCACAAGAAGAGCCGTGAGGTGAGGAAGAGCGGAGAGATGACGATAGGCTCTCAGAAAGACTCGGACGACAGTGCTGCTACGCCTCAGGATGAAACTTTGGAGGAGGTGGGTGGATGCAGAACGCTTGACACTCTGTGCCATCCTCAAACCTGTTACAAGAGAGTTAAATGGTGCTTTGGCGTCCTCGTGCTTTGCAGAGGGTTCGTAACGAGGGCCTATCGAGCGGTACGCTGTCCAAGTCCAGTTCTTCGGGAATGCAGAGCTGCGGAGAGGAGGAGGGCGAGGAGGGTGCAGACTCAGTACCTCTGCCTCCACCTATGGCCATCCAGCAGCATAGCTTGCTGCAGCCAGACTCACAGGATGACAAGGTGAGGAGAGTTAGGGTGTTACAGCGGGGGACCGGGGACCAGATGTAATCAGCTCACATCATTCTTTAAGATTGTAGGTCAAGAAAGGGCATGAAGAATCGTGTTGTGAGGCTTGCTTTTTAGGATTGTGTTGATCTGGAAATTGCCAGCGTGCTTTGTGTTCTGAACTTCTGGTAGACAAACGGAGTCACACAGATTTTGTCTTCAGTATTTATAATTGTTAGAAAGTGTTAAATTTACTATCCACAAAAATCTACCCCATTCAAAATTGGCTTGTTTTGCTCAAAACGATGAGATGCATATCTGAAATCATCTCTAGCTGCCTGCAGTGTTTTCTTTCAATAGAAGTGTGTCCTAAAGGTTTTTTTTTAATACATTTATTTTTGATCTAGTAAGTATTCATTTTAAATCTGCAACCGAATCAAACCCACATTTGGTCGCTTGCCGAGGCCGGGGGTCGGTGTAAGAGGTGGTGTAACATCTGCAGTCATTGGTTTCTGGAAAACACTTTCACTCATTTAAGTTTCTCCCACCTTTTCCCAAATAGGACCATTTCCTGACACGGTTTAAGTGACCCTTAGTTTCAGTTGTGCGTAGCATTTTATCTTGGCGTGTTGCATCATATTCTCCCCTCTCTTCTAAAACAGAAAGCAATGCAAAGTCTCACGCAGCCCACGTTTCCTCCTCGACTCAAGTGGAGACTCCTCTGACACTAATTTCTGTTTCTCTTTTTTTGTTTTGTTTCCTGGTTGTATTGTTTGCTGTTTTCCATGCTGTAGCATTACCTTGATTTATGTCCTGTCTTTGCTTTGTCTCAGTTTCCATACCTCTCCATCTGAAGTGTCCCGCTCTTCCCCTTCTGTCTCTTCCCTCGGTCACTTCTTCAGTTCTCTATCGTTTTCCCCCTTACTCTTCAACTCAAAATTGTATTTTCTAAAACCTGAAACATGAAGATAGAAGCTTTTTTCCTTTTCCTTCTTTTTTTGAAATCCACCTTTCTCTGTCCCTCTGCCTAACTTTTGTATTTTTTGCAAACTCTTAAACATTCCTGGATTTCTCTACTTAAGATTTCCCCCTTTTTCTTCTTCTTCATCTATGTTTTTTAAGCTTTACATGTTTTGACTTCTGCCTCGTTTCTTTGATCACACCTCTGGAGCAGAGAGGTGTCTGGCGGATGAGTAAGGGCTTTAAAGCAAAATGTACATAAGGAGAGGATGCATGTAGCTCCTAACTCTTTTTTTGTTAGTCTGTAAGCATAGCGCAAAACTGCAGCTTTTTTCTGCATGTTTGTCAGTTATAGGCTGGGATTGACCATGAAATTAGTGGATCTAAATCTGAAAATAAAGCGGTAAGATCCCCCAGCAGCCCCGCTGGATAATCTAACTAAGAGGCCACAATGAGGTGAAAATTCATAAGCACCCCTTCTTCCTCTCCCCCAACTCCTCACCACCCACTCCGTCCCCCGCCTGCTCGTCCTCATCTCCTTTTACCCTCTGTGCGTTAACCTCATTAACCATGCGAGTAATTGGCATCTCTAAATGCTGGCGAGGCCAGAAGGGCACACAGCATCACCCAGAAAACCTAATTGGGGAATGTCTTGAAGCACAGCACAGCAAGGGTGAGAGTCTCCTGAACTATATATATATATCTCTATATATGCATACTTACATATTACCTCTTTCATTCTAGCTCTGTTAGCATTCTTTTTTTATTCCAAAGGCCGCTCATCACCATCTGAGAAAGCAACACAGACATCTTTCACTCACACATCACCATTTTTTTGACCTTCTGCCCATCACTATTTCAAAGACTTCTATTTTTCTTCTCTTATCTTCATTTCAGTCACCCTACTTTCAGCCTCATGTTTTGTTTTTTTTACCTTTTCATTGGCCGCTTTATGAAGTTCATATACGTTTTGACTTTCTTTAACCTTGAGTTATAAAAACCCCGCCCCCTGTCCTGGGGGTTTCACTAATGGGAGCATATCGTGGATGAATCTCTTCAGATTACAACATTTAACAAACATTTTCACTAAGTCATTGGTCGCATCAACAACTAAAATCCACTTAAATGCCACCACCAAAAGATAATTGAATCTTGTCTTCAAGTTATTCTCAATGAAAACTCCAGCATGGCTTTTAACTGTAAGCTCTTACAACTTACTTTAGGATTACGTTAGAAACAGACTTATTTCTGTTTCAGAAAGGATGGAAATTACTCCTAAAGTGTGATGAGGCTTGATTCAGTTCTGAAAAGTTTAGTGGTTCCTTTTTTCCCTAAAGAGACTTATCACTTCAAAATTTAGACTGTCGACTTGCATGGCTTTTCTCACGCTTGTTGGTTTTCCTTCCTCTCATCTCTCTGCTTTTTGCCTAGACCTCTTCTCGTCTGTCGGTCCGCCCGTCCAGTTCAGAAACGCCCAGTGCCGCTGAGCTGGTGAGCGCCATCGAGGAGCTAGTCAAAAGCAAGATGGTAGGAAATACCAAATACTCACACCAACCAGGCCCAGTTTATCAGAAGATACCACAGACTGTATATAAAAGATGGACGTAGCAACCATGCTGTTGCCAAATCCTTATTTTGACCACCATCATGTGAATTTTTGGAGCCTGGAGTGAACATATTAAGACGAGAGGCTGGAGTGCTAAGTTATTGCTAAGCTAATGCTAGCAAGCTTAAATTGGCAACTTGCTGAGTTTCACTCAGTAAAGCTGAAGCATAAACTTCTTGAACAGAGGTTGCATTGTTTGTCCAAAATTTTATTAAAATGTTCAAAAAAACACCAACATTAAGAAAACAAAAGAAAGGAAACATGGTTTTGAGGTTCAGGTGAGTGACTCTGAGTAAAAGTGGTGAGGACAGGTAGCTAGCAGCTATAGCTAAAGCCCACGTTAGCATAGCTGTCACTGAAAGTGTCCACATGCCCTAAATTTTAAAGAAGAACAAAATCTAATTAGGTGAGTTTAAAAACAACAGTCCAGTGTTTACGAAGAGCGGAAGTAGCTTTAGAAACCATTTAGCAATCAAGTAAGTATGATGAAAATGAGTCTGCCTCAAGTGGCCACTAGAGGAACTGCAGGTTTCGGCATTAGACTTTTCCTTTGTTTTCCAGCTCCAGACGTTTCTGCTTGATTCAATCGCATTAACTGTTTGTTAGCTTCATATCAGCCGATTTAAATATATTTTTCTGCATTTTCTGTTTATTAAGCTTAGTTGTGTCCAGAGTCATTAGGATTAAAAGACTTTATATAAAGGAAAGAAGGATTTCTTCTTGTGAACAAACTGCTTTTGTTGTGCAGGCTCTGGAGGACAGACCCAGCTCTCTGTCTGTAGAACAAGGAGACAGCAGCTCTCCCTCTTTCAACCCCTCTGACAACTCCCTCCTCTCCTCTTCCTCCCCCATTGAAGAAATGGACGAACGCAGGGCCAGCATCCTCAAAAAAAGACAGTACGTCTACTGCGATCTCACGCAACAGTAGACTAATGTTTAGGGAGCTCTAACGCTGCTTTTATAGCTCTCATTTTAAGTCTGCCATCTGTGTTTCTCCTCTCTTGCTCTAGTTTCATTCTGCTGGAGTTGGTGGAGACGGAGAGAGATTACGTCAGAGACCTCGGCCTGGTGGTGGAGGTAAGTTTAGGGAAACATGATGGATATTAAAATGAGTTCTGGCGACTTCCTGTTGTGAATTCTTCGTGTGTTTCCATCACAAGGGCTACATGAGCAGAATGAAGGAGGAGGGTGTCCCTGATGATATGAAGGGAAAAGACAAAATTGTGTTTGGCAACATCCATCAGATCTACGACTGGCACAAAGAGTACGTAGGGGAATGCACACACAGACGTGTGGAGACTGTAGAGTTTTCCCTGTCCAGAATCGGCGCTTCAGTAACTTCTGTTTCTGTGTCGCTCAGTTTCTTCCTCAGGGAGTTGGAGAAGTGTTTGGAGGACCCTGACAGACTGGGACCACTCTTCCTCAAACAGGTTGGTCTGCAGGGAATTTCCAGCTCCTGCCTTCTTTGTAATTGCTTCCACACATCTGATCAAAGTGTAATTGTGTGTGTGCTCTATCTATCCAGGAACGGAGACTAAACATGTACGTAGTGTACTGTCAGAACAAGCCCAAGTCAGAGCACATCGTGTCCGAGTATATCGACACCTACTTTGAGGTTAGACTCTGGTATTTTGGCAGCTTTAGGTTCAAGTGTAACTCATTATGCAGCTGTTAAAGAGACACATTTGATTTTGTAGGACCTGAAGCAGCGGCTGGGACACAGACTGCAGATCACAGACCTGCTCATCAAGCCAGTCCAGAGGATCATGAAGTACCAGCTGCTGCTCAAGGTTAGGCTGTTTCTATGCAGTAGAGGGCGCCAGAGCCCCAGCTGCTGCTTACTTACCCTTTATATTTGCACTGTATCCAAATGCCCCTCGCCGTTACACGTAACGTACAAAGCTATTATTTTACTCGTGTTTGTTTGTGCATTTTAGGATTTCCTGAAACACTCTAAAAAGGCTGGGCTCGAGTCTCCGGATTTGGAAGTGAGATCCTAAAAACCCCCAAAAAGAAAACAGAAATTATGCAAAACAGTTTGAGCGATTATACCAACCTTGTTTATTTCTGACTCTTCCAGAAAGCAGTGGAGGTCATGTGCATTGTTCCAAAAAGGTGTAACGATATGATGAATGTCGGCCGGCTTCAAGGGTTTGATGTAAGAAGCCATTTTTCTCAGTGATCGGTCAAGCAGTACAACATCTTCCTTAAAGCGTGCGTTAACATTTCTCTGTCTTTGCCTCCAGGGGAAGATTGTGGCTCAGGGCCGCCTTTTGCTGCAGGACACATTCATGGTGTCCGACCCCGACGGCGGTCTGCTCGGCCGGATGAAGGAGAGGAGGGTTTTCCTGTTTGAGCAGCTTGTCATCTTCAGTGAGCCTCTGGACAAAAAGAAAGGGTTCTCTCTGCCAGGCTTCCTCTATAAGAACAGCATCAAGGTAATGATTTAAGGAGGGAGGATGTACACTTGTTACTTTCCCCACTTGAAGAATGTCTGTTAATATGCTAACGATGAGGAACATTTCTCCTTGTTGTTTGCAGGTTAACTTGATTTAATTATTCCTAGTTGTGTAATCTTGTTTTAGTGAGAATATCTTTCTCAGAAGAATAAACCATGTTTTCTATAAAAATAGTCCGCAGGCTTAGTTTGGCTTAGCTACAAAAGCAAAAGACATTTACCTGAAGCAGAGCTTAGTCTGTCAGTCTGTCTGGCTCCTCATCGAGTTCATGTAACAAAAGCTCAGACTCTTTTTAAGTTACTGCATTGCACTGATGCAGCAATGGACTCTTGACACACAGAAGTAGTGCAGTCTCAAGCTGCCTTTGTTAAACATCTCTTATTATGAGTAGTTTAAATCCGTAAGGCAGGTGAGAGGACGGCGTGTCCGCGCTCTCAATAACAGTGCTGGTTAAGCCTCAAAATGCATCCTGAACTTCGCTCTACTCTGCAAGAGCACTTTTCACATGTGTGAGAGAGGGAGGGGTCGAGATGTTGGGACA